ACTTCGGCCAAGGCCACGAAGGATTTCAGGTAGGTTTATTTATTGGAACTGAGTGATAAACGTTACGTCAATATTCACCACTTTTTAGAGGCGAGTACCTAATTGAGAAAAACAACCGAAAGGCCCTTTGGACACTTCCCCTCTATATGATAGGGCCACTGGCGACATCCAGCCTTCTAAAAGTGATAATGGCCCGCACTGGCGGTATCCAGCCTTCAGCAAAATAATAATGGCCACTGGCGGTATGCAGTCTTCTAAATAAGATAATGGCCACTGGCGGTATGCAGCCTTCTTAAAAGTGATAGTAGCCACGGGCGGTATCCAGCCTTCTGAAAGAAATAGTGTCCACTAGCGGTATCCAGCCTTCTAAAAGTGATAACGACCACCGGCGATATCGCACCGCTTGATACTAAACCGTGTCCTGTATCCACCAGTCAATGGTATGGTGTCCCGGATCCGTACCCGTGCTGTGTCCATACAGCTGTAATATAACTAATACACACTGTACATTCTACAGTTGACGGCAGAACGATGCACCGTTTCTCGGGTGCGTATTATTTAGGCCAGGGTTCATAATGTCCAGGGCACAATGTGTCCAGTGCTCGAATTGGCCAGTGCCTTGAATTGGCCAGTGTTCACATTGTCCAGGGATTACATGGTCCAAAAGTGGCCAACTGGCTGCAGATAGGGTAAATTCAAAGAAGCCAGGGTTCATAATGTCCAGGGCACGATGTGTCCAGTGTTCAAAATGGCCAGGGTTCATAATGTCCAGGGCACGATGTGTCCAGTGTTCGAAATGGCCAGGGCTCATAATGTCCAGGGCACGATGTGTCCAGTGCTCAAAATGGCCAGTGCCTTGAATGGGCCAGAGTTCATAGTGTCCAGGGATTACATAGTCAACCCAACCCAACCTAACCTAACCTAACCTAACCTAACCTAACCTAACCTAACCTAACCTAACCTAACCTAACCTAACCTAACCTAACCTAAGGTAATGATGTTTGCCTACCAGGGATAAGGAAATAGTTTCTCGCATGAATAGATTGCAAGCAATAGTAAATCAAATATTTTTAGGTTAAGTGGTTATGCATCAGGCTTCAGGCCTTCGGCCTGAAGCCAGATACATAACCACTTAACCTAAAAATATTTGATTTACTATTGCCTGTAATCTTTCCTAAGGCATTGCCTTCGGCACTGCACTGCTTTGCATTGAGCTGATTCCGTGTTTTTTTTACATAATGACGTCACTTTCAGTGACTATGTAATCCCTGGACATTATGAACTCTGGCCCATTCAAGGCACTGGCCATTTTGAACACTGGACACATCGTGCCCTGGACATTATGAACCCTGGCCATTTCGAATACTGGACACATCGTGCCCTGGACATTATGAACCCTGGCCATTTTGAACACTGGACACATCGTGCCCTGGACATTATGAACCCTGGCCTCTTTGAATATACCCTATCTGCAGCCAGTTGGCCACATTTGGACCATGCAATCCCTGGACATTATGAACTCTGGCCCATTCAAGGCACTGGCCATTTTGACACTGGGCATAGCGTACCCTGGACATTATGAACCCTGGCCAGAATGAATGCTCCCCCCGTTTCTCAGCGGTCAGTCAGCTGCCTGCAGTGGTAGGCTGTGCCGCAGCGCACGGGCTGGGTGACACATTGATCACCATAGACACACTTGATGTGTGATAATCAGTACAGCCTTACGGCTCAGTCAACTGAAGTGCTGGGCTGGTGGTGAGGGTAAAAAGTATGATTCGCCCCTGTCCCCTGAGGGATACGTTTCCTGGGAATTACCTGATTTTTCTCTTTACTGATAACTCTCTGGGTTTGGCTTAATTTTCACGGAACACTTATATTAGGCAATCTGAAGATGCACACACTTTTTTATGAAGCATCAAACATTGCATAATAGTCAGAAGCCTTACAATCCCTTTGACGGGTTGCGGTCACGAAATGACAGCACCACATAGTTGCGCTTGGAAATCCAGTTACATTTGTGTATTGAAAGTCTGAACCACTGTGTATTTCAATCGCCATCAGCCCGTGATATCCCATGAGCGACACCGAACCGGACATATCCGGTCCAAACGAACCACAGCCGACCGGACCACCGACGGTCCGACACAGTGACGGGCGAGGTCCGATATCGCCTGGACCAGGGGGCGTCGAAGTCTAGTTCCTACCAACCTGGCACTCCCATGCCTACGTCACCACGAGGACGCCCGAGGGCATTTACATGTTGAAGATAGGGAAATTGCCATAGTTTAGAGCCGCCTGGAGGGCAACCTTGAGATAGATGATTACGAGCGAGCGAGCGCAGCGAGCGAAGCGAGTCTTTTCAATATAACGGAAAAATCTCAGTATGAGCGGCCCGGCCCGGCCCGGCCCGGCCCAGCCCGGCCCGGCCCGGCCCGGCCCGGCCTGTAACGCTTTTGAGAGGCTTATATCTCAGCAACCGCTGGACCGATTGGCCTGCGGTCTTTTTTGTTGGGTAGCCCCATCCCTTCTACCCCGTAATTGACTACTTTTGATACATCTCAGTGACCGTCGTGGCACGTGCCACGTGAAAAGTCAAGGGTGTTCAAGCTGTTTTGCAAAAGTAGTGATTTTGAGAGGCTCATATATCAGCAGCCGCTTGGGCGATTGACTTGCGGTAATTTTTGTAGGGTAGCTGCATCCCTTCTACCAAAGGTCGGATACTCTTCATCTATGTGAGTGACCCCCACTGCACGTGCAAAATACAACAATAAGAGGTGCCAAATTTGTTCCCATTTCAGTAACTCGGTAATTACTGGGACGATTTCGCTGAAACTTGGCATACAGGTAGGCAACCACCAGGCAATGGGCATTCCCATGTGTTGCGGTTAGGGTGCTACTGCACGTGCGCACGTGCAGGGGGCGTTTCCAGATCTCGAGAACGGCTGGGCCGATTGCGCTCAAATTTGGTACACGGTTGGGGACCGGTTAGTAGGGTGCCGTGCAAAAGTCATTTTGGACCCCGTTTGCACGTGCGCACGTGCAGAATGCCGCTTCCAGATCTCAGGAACGGCTGGGCCGATTGCGTTCAAATTTGGTACGCCGCTAGCGACCGGTTAGAAGGGTGCTTTGCACAAGCCCGTTGGAAGTACCCTCTCGCCCTTCTGCACGTGCAGGGCTCACTCTCTCGCTCGCTCGTCCTTCGCCCAAAAGGCGTTTTACTGGTAATGTAAATGTGTGCTAATATGATCATCAACATGTTATTTATCCAAATCCAGGGCCAATTAATCGATATCTTGTCACGTTTTCCAGTGGTGATGCGCTAACTTTCGTGGTTCTTGCAGCCAATAAGGGTGTTTCATAGTGCGATTCAGCCGCGTTATCGACTTTAATGCCATAAACTGCCACGGAACATATGATTTGCAGCTCCCTGGCGTGATAGCTACCAGTAGGGCTCCGGAGTCGGAGTCATGAAGTCGGTCGGAGTTGACAGTTCTGACCTGAGTCGTCGAGTCGGAGTCAGAGTCGATTTTAAAAGCTGGAGTCTGAGTCAGTCACCGAAATTCGATCCCCTCCGCAGACCTTTCAGGGTTCCGTAGTCGGAGTTGTAGTCGGTCGGAGTCGACAGCTCTGACCAGAGTCAGAGTCAGAGTCGATTTTGAAAGCCAGAGTCGGAGTCGGAGTCACCAAAAATTAATTGCCTCTGCAGACCTGCTAGGGCTGTGGAGTCGGAGTCGGTCAGAGCCGACATTTGAAATCAAAGTCAGAGTTTATTTTTGAAAGTCTGAGTCAGAGTCGGAGTCATCAAGAAATCCATGGACGATCCGCAGTACCATGCAGTAAGGGCGCTGCCGATCGATGCCCTGAATTGCCTATGATTTATGAATTGAATGAATAGATGGCAATTAATTAGGTACCTGCTATTATTCATCCCTTGCCACTTGGAGAACTTACTTTCAGTAGAAAAAGACGCATTATTTGTTTGTTTATTTAATGACAAATATTTTTGAGCAGTTAGGGATACAGACACAAAACACAATGATAGCCACCTCGCTGGTGCAAATCATTGCTAGATAGATGTTGAAATGTGTTACTGTTGCCATTGAAGAATCTGCTGATTTTCCTGGCGGCTCTCGTTTTCAAGTAACTACCTACTCAGTACTGGTCTTGTAAGATCTCTTGATTGCTCACCGTCTGGCGTATAGTTTATTTATTTATTTATTTATTTATCAGAATCACCAACAGGGATAAGCCCCACTGACAGGCGAAGTCAACAAGGTTTTCCAAGGTTCCAAGGTTTTCTGAAAGCTAATCAAACGTTATCATGGCTGCTCTTGATGGCATGGCGCTTGCTGGTTCTGGGCTCTTTATTGGTGGTTCTTGCGTCTGATCCTGTTGCTTCATGTTCCAGCATATCACATTAAATTTATAATGGAACAGACACTTCTACCTTTTATTTCACTATCAGTCGACTTGCATTTACCCCTGTGGCCTGCTAACCCTTTTATTTCCACGATAGAATCTACCAATTATTGAAAAAGCCTCGGATAAAAAAGCAAGAAAAGTATGTCAAGTTAAAGAATTGCGACGGTCCTAGAAAACCAGAAAAAAATATCAAACAGCCTGTCCACCTCACTCCGGCCCTCACTTCATAACAAAAACACAAACCACACAGCAAAACATGCGAAAGAGTCCTTAGCAACGCCTTAGCAACGCATTTGTCTGAAGTGCGCAATATGTGTCACATCTGGAAAATTTAGTAGCTACTTGATTATTCAACTAGAATTGGACTATATAAGCTAGGCTTTTATAAAAAAAAATAAGTGTTTGCTTATCGAATTTATAGTAACTAGTAGCTTAACTTCGAAATAATGATTTATTACAGAAAAAGCTTGTTTGCGACATATTTGTAAAGAAACAACGGAAATAGCTTTGACTCGTACGCTATTCTAGTACATTTTTGGTATAAAACTTCGTCCAACCTTATGTTTTAGGGCCTTGGCCTGGACCGGACACCCTCACAGCTAGCTCCAACCTCTCTCTGGTCTAAACTGAAACTACAACACAACAGCCAGCACAGTGGTGTGAGCCAGCGTGACGTCACGTCACAACACACGTGACGTCACCACGACGGTACCTCTGGCACGGTGACATCGGTTCACCGATGGCTGGACAGTGGCCCGGAGCGTGATAAATCTCGGATACTGAATATACCTACTGCCTCTATCAAAGCAGTGTCAACAAACGTGCAATCTGTGCCTAAATCAAATGACCAGCCTTCAGGTGGCCACTCAACCCAAACCGGCTGGCACGGCGGTAAAGTACCCACGGACCTGGCCCGATGGGACAGGGCGGCTCGAGGCACTTCTGGATATGAAGGTCTAGACGTGCATTGTGTAGTGTGTACAGCACAGCGCTGTCGACGGGACACGGTGCTGCCATCTGTTGTCGAGTTCCGACACTGCCGCCGGCACCGGAGTAGATGAAGCACTGGGAAGCAGAGCTAGTGGCTGTCGTTGTAGTACGCCACGCAGATGCTACTGTCGGAGGGCTCTTCAATCTCGTCTTTTATAGACTCTGGAAACAGAGCACGCCAGATTACGCACAGTTTGCTAGTGATGTCACATGGGGCAACTAAGACTGATGACGTGACGTCGCCTACATATACAGAAACAAACACAATGACATTTGTGTGTATCACTGACTAGTGACGTCATGAGGGTTGATACTGAAATACTGTGACGTCCAGGGTTGTGCTTGACTCATGAGTCGAGTCAGAAATTTGACTCAACTCTGACTCAAATGAGTCAGATTTGAGTCGAGTCAACAACTTAGGCCTGGCCCTGCTGCAGGATTTTTTTCACCCCCACCCACCGCTCAACAACTTTTTTATCTGAGTCAATTTTGAGTCAACTCACTTGACTCAGGGTTGGCATTTTTGCCGGCAAAAACTAGTTTATGCCATTTGCCGGTTTAAACCGGTTTTAACCGGCAAAAAGTGGCAAAAACTGGCAAAAACTAAAAACCATCACAATGATATGCCTACACATGGATTTGAACATGAAACATTTTAAGGAGAATTCGGTGAAAGCTTTATGCTTTCAAACAGAAGTGACTTTGACCGTTGAAGTGTTCTATAACTGAACAACACTTTCATGGGCTTTCCATAAGGAACCAGTAAGACGCCTTTTGGGGTTGACAAATGAGCCAGTGCAAGAGTGAGTCCTGCACAATCAGAAGTGCGAAGGAGTATCTGCCACTGATATGCGCACTGCACCCTACCGTGGCAGCTTTGCCCCACTCTCCCCTACATGGAAATGCATTCTGTGGTGGATGTCTATTGCCTACCGACATGCATAGACATTTTAAGAAGGGATAAGTAATGAGGCAAACTTCAGAATGTTTGGTGCATCTCTATAACATCCAGAAATGCATTTGTACATTTCAGATCCATTCCTAACAAGAAAAGTTGTGGTTTGGGCCAACTGAGTTTTATCCAGTTTTTGCCAGTTTTTGCCACCGGGGTTTCTGCCAGCCGGTTTAAACCGGTTAAAACCACTGGCAAAAACCAGTTTTTGCCACCCCCTGCCAACCCTGACTTGACTCAACAAAAATTTGAGACAAGCTTGAGTCAACTCATATTTTCATTGAGCCGCTTGAGTCATGAGTTGAGTCAAGGGGAAAAATCAGCTCCTTGTTTGAGTCAGAGCTGAGTCAGGGCTTTCTGAAGTTGAATGATGAGTCGAGTCGGCAAATTTTTTTGAGTCGAGCACAACCTGGTGACGTCACTAACGGAGTTACACGTCACCTATTGTGACGTCACGTGCGTCAGTGTCTGCGCGTATCAGAGAGGCCGGTGGCGCCATGTCGGCTAGTGTGGGTGGTCAGAGACGCTGCCACTTACTGGGGACATAGAGAGTGATTGTGCGAGACTGGCCACCGTCATATCCCAGGTCTGTCACGTGCAGGGCAGTCAGGACGGCCTGGCGGTTTTCGAGTGAGGAGGTGAGGTGCAGGTTCTTTAGTTTCCTGCAGGTCACTGCCATCCTGCAACAGATCATAACAAAACAGAACGGGTCAGTATACGGGACACAGTCACACAGTGGCACCAGCGGGCGACTCGACACGGAGACACCATGTAGTACCAATGCCGTTCATAACAGAACATATGTGCCTCCAGCTACCTCAAGTTCCCAGTCTGGTGCTGCAATTTGCTATACATGTTTCACACGATACTAAGAGCCTTATGCCATCCAATATTATGTCCATATCTATATTAATACCAGTCCAGTCCAGATAATGTAGCTGCCCGTCCGTTTGTCCGTCTGTCTGTCTGTTTGCATTGCATCAACACAACCACCTGAGTCAAAAAGTCTGCTTGTAGATGCTCATTCTTCTGTAACGAGTTTGTTTCCATTTCCAGTGTCCATGTGCCCGTATTACTATAATGTATACCTCCAACGGATACGCAGTTCCTGGGGTTATTGCGGTCTATGCAGATTAGAGTTGCAAAATTTCCCTACCGCACTACCGGCATGCCGGTAATTTTTCACTACCGCAGGTTTTTTCGTGGTATCTGGCATGTCTTGCCGGTAGCATGCCGGTATTTTTGATTTTGCACAAAAAAAAATTATCAGCATATGATTCAAACTTTGGACACTAAGAGGCTATTGAATTGTAATAACAGCAATCTTAGCCACTGCAAAATACATTTTGTGGTAGAAGTTCCATTGCTAAGGGTAGGGGTGACACATGAACCTCAGCATTTCACAGGTTTGGCTCTAATTAGAATTGTCAAGAATCTACTGTGGTCTATCAAAGGAAGACAAAGAATACTCATTAATGTTGCAAAAGCACAACCAATTAGTAAGTCTGATGTTAGGTAATAGGCATAATACAATAACTAAAATAGATAAATGTTCATGGCAACATTCCCTAGGCAAAAGGCAGAATCAAAACAACACAAAACACATTGTTCAACTGGCCTTGAGTCCTGGGATGTGGTCTGAGATACTCTACAAAGAATTTGACACTGAAAATCCAGCTGAAAAGGCAGGTGTTAGGTAGCCCTGAACCTAACTTTGGTCCCAAAATGAAATGAAAATGAATTAAACTGGCATCTTGTCTTATCTTTACAAGAAAACACAACATGCAGACCAAATGAATACAAAGTGGCGCAATGTGGCGCAAAGGCAACCAAGGATTGACTTTTAAGATCCTCTGTCCCCTAATGAAAGGATGTAAGCTGATGACGTAATATTTATTCATATGCCCTTTTGGTTGAATCACTCAAGAGAAATCAATGTTCTTGTAGTGAATAACACTCACAGTGTTGATTTCATTGGAATTCAATATCGTGTTGGATGATTTTTATGAATAAAATCATTCACGAGACAGAAGTTTGCAGTCCTAAAACCTTTTTTGCAGTGTTTTAACCCGCGCCCTGCTGGGGGGGGGGGTGTTTGAACACCCGCCCTTGTGGTTTTTCGCGAATATCTCAAAAACGGCGGCGCGGAGCGCCGCCGTTTTTGGTACACCTTACCATACATCAATTCTACACATGTTGTGCAAATTTCAGACCAAGGTCATTCAAGGTCAGGTCACCAGGTCACTTGAAGTGACCTCACCTCATAAAAAGTTTCAATGTCTGTCATAGCTACACCGAGTGACCGATCGCTTTGAAACTTTCAGCGATTGCTAAGAGCAATAGCATGTACAAAATGTATATCTCAGAATTTTGATATCGATGACCTAAGGTCAGGTCAATTTTGCGACCTCCCCATTATAAGTCAATGGGAGAAAATTGAAATGCGTCTCTTTTGGACGAAAGACATTATAAACACTCCCAAACACTGAATTACAAGTGGTTTAGACACACTGAACATGAAAATGGTGTCCGTGACCCCTGTTTATGCCCTGAGGTCATCTTAGGTCACGAATGGTATCTAACAGTTTTTCGCAAATAACTTTTGATAGAGGCATGCTAAAGCGATGAAAACACCTTAGATGTGTTCAGCTCGACGATACGGATCGACTGATATGCAACATGACCCTTTCCGGTCAGGTCATGACCTTGACCTGAGGTCAAATTTTCAAGTTGACCTTTCAAGGTCAAGTTATAGTTCATTCGATGCGTCTTGACGAGAGGAACACGATGCCGGTAAAAGTAAGCTCGTACAATGCTTGGGTCAAAAGTTATTGCAGAAAAACTGTTTCCGAAAAAATCGGCTATTTTTGCAGTTTTTGCCCCCTGCAGGCAAAACCGTTGACGTTAGGTCAAATCTGAGAAAATTACTCAGAAAGGGCGTTAATAGGGCTATCGAATGCGCTTTTCCGCGGCGCTGTAGCTCTATTGGTTCCCGAGTTATGCGTTGGCTTCTTGGAAATTTTCGACATTCGACCTGGAAATCGGCGAAATTTTGCCTTCAATGACCTCTGGTGACCTGACCTTTGACCTGACCAAAAAATTGACCGAAGTGATTTCGTCATTATTTTTGACGCTCTTTCGAACGTCGCCTTCCGCGTATCGCTACGTGGCCCAGGAGCCGAGTTAGAAGGGGGGGTGTTCAAACACCCCCCCCCCAGCAGGGCGTGGAAATCCAGGACCCCCAGCCGGGCGCGGGTTAATCAGCTGGTTAAAAACTGTGTTATGGCGCATCTGTTTCGAAATCCTTTATAACCATTTGTTTGTTCCCGCGTTTGAGATGGGGGAGGATATTATATCGTTTTTATACATATTATTTGGTGACTTCTCATGACAAGTGAGTTATTAACACATATTTTTACATGATTCGTATCTTACTCACGAGCCAGCAAGCCATGGCGGATAGGATGACCTTGGCGGATAGGAAAAAGCTGATGTTGATCTCGCTTCCTCAGTTCATGAGTCCATGAGTTTGAGTTAGGAATATGGCCGAATCTGTAGTTTTTTATATCAATATTGTGATTTGTGAGTTGTGACTATCTATAGTTCATTATTTGGTTGGTACCTGCAATATTTTAGGAGAATGTGGAAAATAAGAACGCTTGTGGCAAATGTGATTGCTGCTCACTGTGCAATCTTCAGAAACACATTTCAGTAATTCAAGTTCTTTTTGTCCTTGCTTTTTTGATGAATGTGTTAATGCTTTTTGTAGGCAATACCTTTTTGATTACAGGATATATTTAAACAGCTGTAGACTGGAATGGAGTTTCAAAATTGTGGTATTTGTGGGGCGAACTCAGCTAACATCAGGCTGCTGGTAGTTTTGGTTGGACAATGGGTGGCTGCTGGGTGGGGCGGCTACTGAAATTGCCAAAATGTTGCATCTCATGTAGGGGTAAGCCAGAATCAAGAATGCAGGTTTTTTGGTATGCCGGTAAATTGGCGGTTTTTTTTTGCTTGGGGCGTGGTAGCATGCCGGTATCCCAGAAAATTTTTGTGGGGCGGGGCGGTGCCGGTAGCAGCCCATTGGGAAAACTTTGCAACTCTAATCCAGATATGCATAAAATACCCGCCGGCGCCGTCCGGCCGACTGTGGCGACTGACCTTCTGACCGCTGCCACCTCTGACTGGGTCAGGGCAGGGATGTCCGTGAGGGGCCGGGTGTCACTGAGCTGCACCGTATCCAGCTGGGAACAGCCGTGAAGGGCGGACGGCACAGTTTCGGAAATGACGCCTGATACAACAAGAGTGACGTCCGTCAAGCTGGTGAGGGCAGTCAGGAGGCGTCCCGTCGCTTCCGGTGTCACGGACGGTGACTCTGTGAAACAAAAATACAGACACACATGCTAACTGGAATGGCTGCAACTCAAGACAAATAATATTCACAGCAAGATATCATACTTAGTAGTTAGTACTAACCAGTACGACACCTTTTTGGGAAACGGACAAGCGAGAGCAATAAAGGAATAGTGGGAGAGCGCAGCAGTAAGATCTAACAGCTTTATATGGGCCATCCTTCTAACAAGTCCATAGCAGCGTAGCAGTCTCTACTCTTGAGCGCCCGTCGTTATTGAGAATGAGAAGCATAATCATATACTATATTAATACATAATAGCCAAATACATATACTCATTAGCATGATCAGTTCGATATCTGTTTAACGATAGGAGCTACGTTTTGTCAATTTGATGAAGTGCAGTAGTAAGCAGAACGTAAGCGCCACGTGTGCCCTACATATCGACACCTTTTTTTAAAACCCCACATTCTGTTCTCCGGTGAATTTCCGGGAAGCACGAAAGATCTCCTTTTAAAAGTGTCCAATCGTCCGATCCTGATCAAATTTGTGTGTTCGTAACTCGTAAGCTTATTCTGACATTGCTTGATCTGCCAGTGCCAAGACAGACAAACTTGAGAAAAATGGAGTGACTGTACCTTTTTTGAAGGTTGCTAAACAACTTGTCTGAACTTCACGAGAGAACAAATGTGGGGTTTAAAAAAGTTGTCGATATGTCATGGTCATTGCCCATTGGTCAGTGGTCACGATATCTTGGCACCGATGCTCTGCTCGTGTTGGTGTTGCTCACCACGAATGAACAGCTTGGTGACTGTGTGGGCCGCCAGAGCAGCCAGCTGGTCCAGGAGTATGTCCGTTGCCAGCTGTACACCGACCACAAGTCCCTCCGACGGACATCTTACGAAAGTCAGAGGTGCCCGCGTCATCCCCGACCCTGTGGAGAGGGATATGATCGCCAGTTAACAGCATTGTGGCCTGTGGGTAGGGAGAGCATTGGTCGTGGGCACCATCAGTCAGCTTATTGACAGACAACACTCGTACCTATAGGTGGCATAATCACCTGTCTCCCTAGTATTATTGTCATTGACAATAAGGCTCAGGCAATTAAAGACTTTCATTATTCATTTTGTTTTCATCGTATTCTAGTTCTAATACATTTGTGTTGGTTTGGTTTTAAGTGCATTGTGGATACTAGATAATGAAGTAAGCTTACATATATGCTGATGGTATGTTTAACGCGCATTGTGTCAATGATTCCAACCTCAGACTTAATTACCTATCAGACCTCGGCCGGCTTATGTGCTAATAAGCAAAAAAGTGTAACCGAACAAATTCGCCCTTCCCTTCTTTACAATTTTCTTTATCTCACCACACAAAACATGCAACAATTCCGGGGGAGTTAATACTTTTCCTTCATCGACTACGCCATTCTCGAGATCCAGTGCCGCAACTAAGTGTCGATGCGACAGTGCTAGAAACTCACTCCACCAGCACCCTATCGACCCTTCTCACCAGTGATGTCCAGTCTCTTCAGCGACTTGGGCAGCAGCCGCAGCCACTTGCCGGAGCTGTCCACAGGTGGGCTCACATCGAGCCGCTCCAGAGCCTTCAGCGGCTCCAGCAGCGCCTCCAGCTGCCAGTCGTTGATGCCGGCCGGCAGCGTTAGCTCACGCAGACTGGAGCCGTTGGCACGCGCCAGCCGGCGCAGGGCAGAGACCCGCAGCTTGAAGCCGCGCAGGTTGGCCTTTTCCAGGGCGTGGCAGGTGGCCGCTGGAATAAAGCAACACCAGTCAGTGAAGAAGTGATCGCTCATATGGACAAGGAATGGCAGTTACAGCGGGACAAAGCGTAGGGGAGAGTGGGGTTATTTGGCCGGTGGTGTAAATTGGACGCCCCAACCTGTACGATGCCTAATAAAAGTGAGTGAAATAACTCTAGTCTCTATTCATTTGTCATGGGTAGAAATAACTGGAGGACAAATGTCAAAACTTTGCCCCTTGTAGTTGTATTCAAAACCTGCGCCCTGATGGGGGGAGGGGCCATTTTGCCCCCCCCCCCCTGTGGTTTTTCCTGAATAGCGAGAAAACGGCGGCGCGCAGCACCGCCAAATTTTGGGTACCTTACCGGGCATCAATTTGACACCTTCACACAAAATTTCAAGTCACAGGTCACCTCAGGTCAGGAGTTATTGAGTTCAAACTGAGGTCATGTTCGAGGAAAAATGGGCAAAAACATGACATCTTGAAACGCTCACCAATTCTACAGTTAACAAGCAATTTTAAAGTTCTTTATGTGGTTGTGTAGAGAAAAAAATGGCGCTACAAAACTGCTATCTCGGATTTTCGAAATTTTGGGATTTTGACCCCCAAAATAAAAAAAATAATTTTTTTAGAAAAACTAAAAAAAAATCCAAAAATTTTTCGAATTTCGAAAAAAACCGGAATATATGTGATAGTCCCTGCGCTCTTCGATATACATACCAAATTTTAGATTGATACCTCTTTTTTTGGCCAAGTTATAGCGAAAAAAACTGTTAAAAATTGATGACGTCAAATTTTTGAACTCAATTTTTTAGCAATTCTAGACCTCGTAGCGCAAAACAGAGACCACCATTGAACTCCCCGTGACGAGCTGCATCGAATCAATACCCATTTTATTCAAAAATATCAACTTTGAAATTTGACCTTATTTGACCTGACCTTGACCTGACCTTGACCTGACCTTGACCTGACCTTGACCTGACCTTGACCAAAACGTGACCTAAGCTGACCAATGGACCAAATGGACCATAAAACATGTATCACACGACACTTTCATATTGCGACCCCCCAGTGACCTGACCTAGATGTGACCTGACCTGGTATCAGTGACCTCAAATAGCAAAATATGTGTTTGAAGAACATTTCCCAATCGATGATTTTCAATGAAATGCATTTTACTCGATTTTACAACGCATTTCTTGAAATGCCTGTAAACGGTGAAAATTCGACCTTTGACCTGACCTGTGACGTCAACGGTTTGACCGAGGTAAATGAAATTGGGTCACAAGGTAGTTCCCCGTTGGGGCTATCCAACACCGTTTACTGCTTGTCGCTATGTTGCGTGGTTCTCGAGATCTGAGGGGGGGGAGGGCAAAATGGCCCCCCATCAGACCGCGTTGCTCGGCAGACCCCATCTGGGCGCGGGTTAATAAAACGTTAATTTCATTAGAAAACGGTAACTTTTACTTCTGTTTACAAAGTTGTATAACGTGTAGTATTTGGGCTAAAAACGAATTCAGACATTATAGCGTCATTCTTGGGGGTGTTCAGCGGATCCAAGAGCAATTTTATCTAATTCCGTATAGCCGTAATGACTTTATAGACAAAAATTTTCAGAATGGCAATATGGGGTAATTTGGCCGGGACTAGCGGGGCAACTTGGCCGGTGCGCTCATGGTCACTATGCTGGGACGGCCGAGTTTTCATGGTCAATTGTACCATAAATGACATGCTTCATGACCAACTTTGACTACTTTGATGCCTTACTTCCGATTGGTCAACTGTAAGAGCATGTGACGTCATCAAAGGTTACCAAACGTTTTTTGCTAATAAATCCTTGCATAAAAATGGTACAGCCGTACAAATGGTCTCATTCTGTTCAGCTCGCCAAGGCGCATCGAATGATATGCATGATGACCTTGAAATCACGTGACCTTGAGGTCAACCGACCTGATGTAACGTGACCTGAGGTCAACCTTTGAACCTGACTTCTCAAGGTCAACACATATATCTTTCGATGCGGACTGACGAGAGAATTACGATGGTACTCGAAATTTTGGCCTAGCTTGATTACTTCAAAAGTTATTTGTAAAAAACTGTCTTCGCATCTAGAGCCGCTAATTTGGCTATTTTGACCCCTGTGACCCCTGAGTCAACCTCCAAAATGCGGCAAATGCGTCATAGGACACACGTCATTGCTGAATCTGAAGCAGACTCGCAATATAACAGAAAATCCCGACCGCAAACTAACACCGGCCAAATTATCCCACACCCCCGGCCAAATAACCCTGCTAGTGGGGCAATTTGGCCGCCTTGCAGACCTTTGCAATACGTCACAATTTCAATATAAGTAATTACTCTATCATTTCAAGTTCACTGTCCAGTAAAGTAAACTGAATGCGGCACCTGCTAGCGTTGAGAAATGCAGAAATGTGTCGTCAATTTTAAGTTATATCGTTTTCTAAAAAAGCGGCCAAATTACCCCAACCTCCCCTACCAGTTCGTGTGTAGCGCGTTTCACACGGTACTCACCGACCAGTCGGAGGTCGGTGTCCGTCTCAGCGGTCGGCGCCTGCAGTTCGGTCATCTTTGGCTGGTCCTGTGCCTTCAATACGAGCTCCAGGCTCGTGGCCGGCGCCGGGTCCTCTCCACCGCGGGTTTTCTGATCGGTTAGCTCCCGCCGACAGTCGCCGACGATATCGTCGACGGCGGACCGCCAGCGATGGCAGACTGTCGGCACCAACGAAACAGGAGGAACAAGTGACGTCAATGGAAAGCCTGAAACTCAAAGTCCACAAACCGGCAGAGTTTATATATCTGGCAAATAGGCGGCAACCATATTACGGCGGCCGTTCACGTCTCCAGCAGCCCTTTACCTACCACATTCGTTCAGATTTCCGACCCCCATTGCTGAACTATCTGATGGCTAAGGAAACAAACACATCAACTCGGATGTTATTGTGAAATACGACATCGGCATTCAACAGGACACTCACCCCGCCTGGCGCGGAACATGTCCCAGCAGTCCATCTTGCTCATCACCATCTTCAGCAGCTCGGTGTCCAGGTGGTAGATGTTGGCCTCGCGAGCCGCAGGCGGCCTACGCTTACCGGACGCCGGCCCCGGCCCTGTTTCACCGGTGATAGCAGCAAGCTACTATCAAATTGCGCGAGCTGACGTAATGTGATGACGTCATACTGCTGACGTAAGGGGCAATTCTGGCGCACGATTGCCGCAATATTGTTTTACGTCATCAGCTAAATGTTCGAAGTTAATGTCCAAATTTTTCCTAAACCCAACTTCTTTTGAATACATCATATTGAAAAAATATATATCAAAAATAAATATACTATCATGACTGCGTAAACTCTTACTTTTAGGCTCATACGTCACTTAATACCGCCGCCAAGGTCGCGGCAATCGTGCGCCGGGACTACCAATTACGTCAACAGTATGGCGTCACGACATGACGTCAGCTCGCGAAACGTGATAGCAGCTTGCTGCTATCACCGGTGAAACAGGGCCCCCATCTCCTCCGTAGTTGGGGTGACGTCACAACTGGTGGTGGCGTCACACTTGTCACAGGTGTCGGCCTTCAGTGAGACCACCTCTTCGCCGTCACTGTGGTGAAATGACGTCAGAGTGACGTAGTATGACGTCATCTAAGGTCAGTTATAAGGCGATAATTTCGAGATGTCTTCATTTTACCGAAACAGCACCGTACCATGGGCCCACGTAGGTAAGCCAATCCAGTGTCTTACAGACAAACTGTATTCACAACCGGGTTGGTTCTTACAGACAAAATGCCCACACAACCAGGTTGACTCTTACAAACTGTCTACACAACGTAGTGGTGGCGCCACCGTCGTCCTGATTGGTCGCGGGTGTGAGCGCTCCGCATATATTTGTGTTTTCTATCCGATTTAGACCAGAGTTGGCTCTGGGCTTTTTCCTAGACCGACTTAGAAGTGCGTCGAGTAAAATCGGCAAGTGTACACTCCCGACGATAGGATCTAGAGTCGGAGAAGTGTCTTTGTTTAGGGTGACCCAGCCTTGGTCCGAGCAGCGCGGGTCACGCTCGGGACCCTCATGGTATGACGTCACTTGCACCCAGCTTCGGGACAGGATTGGCTGGGATGGCCTCGGTGACGTCTAACATCTAGAGACGTCACTCGAGACCGACGGTTGTTTACGTCTGGCGGGTCAGGCGGCCGCGCCCCCGGCTCTTGGTCGGCCGAGTTTGAGCTGGCCTCCGTCAGGAAGGGACAAGGACACTGACCTCTGGTGGCCGGCTACGAAAGTGAAGCTTCATCGACGGGCCGGTTTGGAGCTGCAGTCAGAGCTGCTCGCGGGACCTCTGGTGTTGGTCTGCACTCATCAGTGACTGACCATGGGTAAAAAACGCAAGGCCGGCTCGCCGCTACAGCAGAGTCAGGGAGGAGCCGGTGCTGAGCCGGATCAGCGCCAGAGTGATCTGTGTGCGGAATTAAAAGATTTTATTGTCAGTGAAAATGCAAAGTGTGTGGCCGCCATTAAAGACACCAACGAAAGGCGCATCGCAGCGATAGAACAATCCATATCGTTTGCGATGGATTCGATATCGACTCTGGCAGCTCGTCAGCAGTCTGCCGACTGGGATATCCTGCAGCTACGGCGGGGGACGGCAGACATGGAAGCTCGTCTGCAGCGTTTAGAACTGCAGGAGGACCGTGTGCAGCAAGAAAAAAGACTGACTTGTCTTCTGTTCTCGGGCCCAGCCGTGCTGAACCAAAATCGACGGGAGGATGCAGCTGAGTTGATTTGTGCCTTAATCCATCGGTACATGCAGCACGATGTCGAACGAGCGCAAATAAGGGCAGCCTTCAGACTGAAAAGCGGGAAAATTATGATGGACTTCTACTCGGCGGCACCAGGCTCAGACAGGGATGTGATGTTCCGTTCCAAATCAAAGCTGAAAGGATCGGGACTGTACATCTCGGAGTCCCTGACTCCAAGAAGACAGGCTCTGTTCCAGAGTCTACTGCAACTGAAAAAAGAAAAGGCCATCTTTTCAGTCTTCACCAGGTCTGGAAACGTACTTGCTTGTAAGACACGTGACTCCGCCCCGATCAGAGTCAGTAATGAGGAGACTGTGCGTCAGCTATCGGGAGCCCGTCCGCCCCATCAACCGGAGCGAGAGCACACCCAAACGAACGGCCGAGTGTCGTATCTGAGGCGTTCCGCGGATGGCCCGTCTCAAGTTCGAGCCCAGGCGGAAACAAGGACGTCTCCCAGCCTCAACCCTGGAACTGGAGATCGGGATCGTGGAGGAGAGCTAAGAGGAACTCCCGCCGCGCGTTCCGGACACTCGATGGAGGAGGGAGCCGGCGGAGCCGGGGTGTCTCCCGATGACGTCACGGAGGACAGGAGTCGGCGCTCGTCGTCTTCTCTGCTAGACTGCGCCAGAGAGCCGGTACGGCAGGTGCGCCTGCTGCCGCCGCTGCAGGCCGCCTCCACCGCTGATGCTGCGGCTGTGCCGACGGGGAATGGGGTCAGCGGTGTTACTGGGACACCAGGCAGAGATCACCGACAGCCGCCGGGGGGATGCAGTCTACTCCTAGAGACTCAGTGTGCTCTAGAGAGGCGGACAAAGACAAGGAGAGCCTGACCCCCGCCGGCGACGTGGCTGGTGACCGGTCTGTCGCCACTCTATCATGTGAGTCTGGTGGCGGGGAGTCTCCAATGCAGACTGTGTCTCCGGCCACCTCCGAGGGGGCGATGGGGCTCTCGTCGCGGGGCGGCGGGTTGCAGAGGGAGGAGCGCACTCGGCGCTCTGGCGGGAACGACGGGGACCTGGGAGCGAGTGCGTCTGCTCAGGGGGGAACGAGAGCTAAGGGGCCTGCTCGGGGGCGGGGGAGTGTTAAGGTGTCGGAGCAGTCACTAGGTTCGGGTCCAGTAGAGGACCGTTTGTCTGCCGACGTGGTCCGATCGTCGCAGCCGTCTCGTGGTCCTAGTGGGGGCTCACGGGACATACGGGAGTTTTTCTGTTGAGTTATACCCTACGCAGTCTCATAGGCTCGATGTTATATGTTGCGCGAGTTATTACGCGTCGTTTGTTGGTAAGGTGTCTAAGGTACCATTGTAAGGTATTTGCACTGGTATTGACTGGTGATCAGCAAGTGTTCTTTATGTTATTTGTGCTTGCAGGTAGGTGGCATCCACGGAACGTAGCGATGCTTTGGATCCTTCCGACGAGCGACGTAGTGAACGAGCTGTATTTGATTTTTTCGTCTATGTTATTGCTTTGCTTTTCATCAGTTTCCTTTTTTATTTTGTCAAATACGCAATCAAGTCACACAAAAAGGATAGAGAATGAGTATGAGTCTAACAGTGCTTAGCGTTAACGTTAGAGGGATACGTCAGTTCAAAAAGAGACGAGACGTGTTTCAGTACATTAAGGGACTTAGCTGCGCACTGTATTGTCTTGTGGACACGCACATTACCCCAGAAATGAAGGATAGGATTCGCTCGGAGTGGGGCACTGATGTATTCATGAGTTGTGGATCCGGTAATTCAAGAGGCATAGTGGTATTGCCCAGCCCTGGGGCGCCGGTGATAGTTCATAGTTATGTTTCGGACGATTTAGGTAACTACATCATTATGAATGTCGAGTTCGATGGATATTTCAGATGTACTCTGGTGGTGCTTTATGGACCAAGCGACGATGACCCATCTTTTTTTCTAGGGTCTTTTCAGGCTCCTGCGTTTGTAACTGATTCTTCGTTTGATGTTATTAAAGAAAAATTTAAGTACTTGGGCATTATTTTTACAAGCAACATGCTAGATATGAGCTCAATAAATTTTGAAGCAAAAATGATCGATATTAGAAACCTTCTGAAGGGGTGGCTCAGAAGAAAGCTTACTGTGTACGGTAAGCGCACGGTACTCAAAACGCTAGCACTTTCGAAACTAACGAACCTATTAACTGTATTACCTGGTCCTCCAGAAGACCTTATCGTAAAACTTCAAAGACAGTTTTTCAAGTTTGTCTGGGACAATGGACAGGATAAGATTAAACGTACTCATATGATTAGGAAGTTTGGTATCCCTTGTTTGCGTACTTTTAATGATTCCATGAAATTGTCGTGGATTAAAAGAATAATATGCTCTGATAAGGATTATGAACATGTCATGCAAAATGTCATTCCAAACAGTCAATTATTATTTACGTGTGGGGATTTGAGTGGAAAGAAAATGGAATCGGTAAGAATGAATCCCTTCTGGCAGGAGGTCGTTAAAGCATGGAATAAGTTTCAGAAAACTTTTCCGGTTTTGTCTGAAAGTATACATTCGCAGCCCTTAAAAAAAAAAAAACTGTCTACACAACCGGGTTGACTATTACCGACAAACTGTCTACACCAAGTGTCATCCCTTGCAGCCAAAGGCGGCTAACTCTAATGTTTACCCTTATCTTTGTCCCCCCCCCCCCCCCCAGTGCCACCCCTTCTGCCTCTCAGTCTCACATCTGTGAACGGTCGGATGGCGCTGCTCGCCGGCGGACCTCCTGCCGCAGCTCCTCCACGACGACCTGGCGAGTGGTGCGCTCCTCGAGGACAGCCTGTCGCAGGCGGACTACCTCTTCACGTAGATGGACCACCTCCTGACGCAGTGTGGTGTTGTCTCCCTTCAGTGCGGCGTTGTCTCCCTTCAGTGTGGCGTTGTCTCCCTTCAGTGTGGCGTTGTCTCCCTTCAGTGTGGCGTTGCCCTCCTTCAGTGTAGTCACCTCCTTCTTCAGTGTGGCCACTTCTCCCCCCAGGCCGACCACCTGTTCACTCAGTGAGTCGCAGTTTTTCTTCAGTGTGGTCAGTTCCCCATCCAAACGGGCGATGTACTCTTGATTAGGATGTGTCATTTCCTCCTTCAGAAGTGCCATCTCTTCTTTCATCTGGATAACCTCCTCTTGGAGCTGCCTGGGCTCCATTTCTAAAAAAGAGAACGTACGGTATATAAAAGACTGAGAGAACGGTGTCACCTGAAACAGTCTAATGGTCGTAACGGCATGTGTCTAGCATATTTACGTCTGGACAACGAGTTGCGTTGGAGTGTCTATGGCTATTCTGTGAGTTTATGATTTTTTAACACATACCGTTCCTGATCGAAAACTCAGGAGCCATGACGTCACTATAACCTCAATCTTAATTTTCCCCACCAATTTGTTTGAAATTTCATCGCAATGAACTTCAATTTATTCCCTACATGCAACCAGAATTTGGCACTCCTGCGACGCGGCCGTTTTTTTAAGCGCGGCGATAAAAGTGGGGGTTTAGCTCATCCAGCAGCTCGCGGGTAAAGTAACGAAGTTTTCGAGACACTATGATGCGGTACGTATAGAATAACCCCTTTCCTCAGCCCTGATCTGGCCAGTCCCCCGGCCCTGTCATAACGAGTGGATGGGGGGAGATACGACTCCTGGCGGGGCTTTTACAGAGCTACTTTTATACGTCAGAGGCTGGTGTAGGCGTGGTGCGTGAGCCACAGCTGGTTCGTACGAAGTTTCATCCACAGTTGTTTCATACGAAGTTTCATCCACAGTTGGTTCGTACGAAGTTTCATGTGTTTTTCCCCACCCGCCGTGAACTGAGCAGAGGGTGTTCACGGACTCTCTCGCCGATCACTTCCCTCCACAACCTCCCCCTCCCCTCCCCTCCACCCCCGCTGACCCCGCTGACCCGCTACCCCCGACACCGAGGACCGGCCAGCCGACCCTCGGTCACGGTTCGCCGGAAGGTCATCTCAGGCTCAAAAGAAACGATATATACCATTCGAAAGCTGACGGTGAGCTGAATCCAAAAATGTAATTTTTATCAAAATCGATCGATGGCCTTTTTTGAAAATTGCGTTTTTGTAAAAACTTAATAATATTTTTTCAACGGGCTGTCCTGGACATTCTTGAAAACATAAACATGTATTTTTGAGTTCCAGTGAAAGCTGAATGCCAAAAGAACAATATTTAGCGAAGCAACATTTCCAAACATTAATATACGTCTCCCACAGCCGAAAATAAGGCGCAATCACACAGCTCAGTGTCACGATGGACCAAAGTCAGCCGCACAGAAGCGTGAAATGACCCTTATCGACTCGCAGACCCGGCGCTCTAGGCCCGCCTGACCGGCCACGGAATGAGAACGTTCGGCTCTCGTTCTACTAAACAAATGTCATATTTGTCAGTTTAACTGTCCACATCGCTATGAAAGTTATTCAGGATACCTGTGAAGAAAATTCATTGTTCTGTCATCCTCACATCATGCATTAATTTGCATTTGTTCATGTCTACTTTGCTCAATTGAGCTTGGTATCATGCCCATATAAGGAAAATTGGCCGTCAGAGGTCAGAGGCTGCACCGGCCTCAGCTCGGGTGGAGTGGGGGTAGCGCCCGGTGGGGCAGGGTAACCTTTGACCGGTCGCACGGCCGAGCAGCTGTCACCAGTACAGCCTCTGACAGTGAAACCCCGCTCACTTCCCCTGCGTGGGCACTGATCGCAGCTGGATGGAACAAAACATGCATAAGAAAAATGTAAATTAAAGCATGTTGTAAATCGAACAGAACAATGAATTTTCTTCACAGGTATCCTGAATAACTTTAATAGCGATGTGGACAGTTAACCCTAGAACGCCTAGGGGGGGGGGGTTGTATCAACCCCCCCCCCCTGAGGTTTTTTCGAAGTGCACGCTAAACGGCTTGTCGTAGCGGGCTGAAATTTTCAATACCCTCTGGGGCAACCTTTGCGCATCTTTTGCCGAAAAAAATTGATCGGGTCATGTCAGGTCACGGAGTTATGACGTCATAAGAGGTACAGCCTCCGGCCGGATTTTCACAAACTGAGTGCCAACGCCCGAGGTTTCCTGCCGGTGGTACGGACATCGGTTGATGGATCGTGATGAAACTTCCCATGCATGTTGGGGCAAGTATTGGCTATCATATGGTATAAGAAATTTGACCGGGTCAGGTCAGGTCACGGAGCTATGACGTCACAAGAGGAACAGCGTCCGGTACTATTTTTGAAAAGCGCCCGAACCACTATTTTGCTAATTCTTGTCACCTCAATGGGAATATGCAGCAATATTAGCTTCTATAGGGAGCAAATGGACCTCCCAAATCCAAAAATACAATCAGATTTCAAAAATTTAAATTTTGATTTTTCGAATTTCTGCCGCCGACTGTGACCTTGCCGACTTCCGGCGCTCCCAACGCGCCATTTTTAGAGCTAGGGAAACGAAATACATACCAAACGATAGAGAATTGATCAAGGAACACGATAGTGAAGGTTTCAAGTCGATATCTCCCACCGTTTTGCCGCAATCGCCGCCGAAAGTTAAAAAAAGTCTATTTTTCCGAAAATTTGACCTTTGACCGGTCAAAAGTAGGTCAAATGTTGACCTAGGACCAAAAAATATACCACCAATCACGAGATCTCGTTGAGAGCAATCCGTTGTTTTTTTCCGCTAAGCTCTACGACCTTCCGTTTCGAAACGCCAGGGGGGGGGGGTCGTAACAACCCCCCCCCCTGGTCGTTCGTGTTATGAGAAATGGCCTGGTCGTGCGAGGGTTAAACTGACAAATAAGACATTTGTTTAGTAGAACGAGAGCCGAACGTTCTTTCCGTGACCGGTCAGGCGGGCCTAGAGCGCCGGGTCTGCGAGTCGATAAGGGTCATTTCACGCTTCTGTGTGGCTGACTTTGGTCCATCGTGACACTGAGCTGCTGTGATTGCGCCTTATTTTCGGCTGTGGGAGACGCATATTAACGTTTGGAAATATTGCTTCGCTAAATATTGTTCTTTTGGCGTTCAGCTTTCACTGGAACTCAAAAATACATGTTTATGTTTTCAAGAATGTCCGGGACAGCCCGTTGAATAAAAGATTATTAAGTTTTTACAAAAACGCAATTTTCAAACAAGGCCATCGATCGATTTTTATAAAAAATACATTTTTGGTTTCAGCGCACCGTCAGTTTTCGAATGGTATATACCGTTTCTTTTGAGCCTGAGATGACCTTCCGACGAACCGTGCGGTGTAATGTCTCCGTCGGCTGACGCGACCGTGGATCAGCTCCGTGTCTGTGTGTTCAGTCAGCAGAAACACCGGTACAGAGCAACTGGAGCCGGAGAGAGAGGGAGAGAGAGGTAGAGAGAGAGAGAGAGAGAGAGAGAGAAAGAGAGAGAGAGAGAGAGAGAGAGAGAGAGAGAGAGAGAGAGAGAGAGAGAGAGAGAGAGAGAGGAGAGAGAGAGAGAGAGAGAGAGAGAGAGAGAGAGAGAGAGAGAGAGAGAGAGAGAGAGAGAGAGAGAGAGAGAGAGAGAGAGAGAGAGAGAGAGAGAGAGAGAGAGAGAGAGAGAGAGAGAGAGAGAGAGAGAGAGAGAGAGAGAGAGAGAGAGAGAGAAGGTGGAAACGGCCCGCCGTACCGGTCAAATCTCCGAGCCGTGGTCCAAATGGACGCGTTTCCCAGTATACAGGCCGTGGTGAGGCACAGCCCTCCTTCGCTGCGGGTTACCTATCAGTGGTTACCTATCTGTGATGAGGCACAGCCCTCCCTTACTGCGGGTTACCTATCAGTGGTTACCTATCCGTGGTGAGGCACAGCCCTCCCTTACTGCTGGTTACCTTGATCAGCGGTGACCTATCAGTGGTGAGGCACAACCCTCCCTTACTACTGGTTATGGAATCAGTTGAGTTAATTTTACATCACTGAAAAACTGATGCCAAACAAGGATGACAATTGACATCGTTTGGTTTCGCTATAACAAAACTCAGTATCCGATTGGCATCTCTAAAAGGAACCCTCTACACGTTCTTAGTACCTACAAGGTCTGCTGCTGTAGGTCACCAGAGGTCAGCAATTCGTGATGTCAATTGGAGATAAACTGGATACCGATACCAAACCAAATGCCAATCTAAACCACGAGAAAATCGGAGTAACTTGGACAGCAAGGAAAAATGCCTAATTTCACCAAACCAAAAGCCTCTTTTACAATAGCGTGGATTTATAATGCCTACCAAAAATTAAAAAAAAACAAAAAAAAAAACATTTTGATTGCAATACCAAACTCGACCTGACATATTTCCTCCGACGAGCTCCTGGTAGCTAAGTCGTCTCCATGGCAACCGCCAGCCAAGCCCAAGAGAAGAAAGGGACTTCCCCCTCTCTCACGCGCAGCGGAGCGAACCGCGCCAGGGGGACTTCCCCGTTCAGTAAAACTTAAGCTGAGGGCCCGTTGTTTTTTAGATACAGTATGCTGCTGTCCATATCACATTTTTACATATCCTGAATATTGAAATGATGCTCATTAGAGTTGTAAACACCACGATAACCCATCGAGGCCAGGTCTGCACTCCTTATCAAACCTAACTAGCCCAGCCTGACTAATCTTTACCTAACCCAACAACACTTCACTCTGCACCCAAGGCCCTATGATACCCCTAAACTACCTAACACTGAATAACTACCACTGGCAGAAAGCTATCCTGCAGATTACGTCAGACTGATGGGGATGTGTCACGTGACCTACTCACCAGCGGATTACCTCAATGTTGGGTGCGCTGATAACCATCGTTATTTAGGTTTAGGGCATGAACCAGAACAGAACCTATGCTTGTTCAACTGTTGGAGCTCAGCATTCGGCCATACTTCAACACGGTACCGTGCCGCTGAGGACTAGCCCCTGGAAAATACCCACAGGCCACACAAAGACCACACTGTTTAGCCAGCCCCCCCCCCTCATCCCCACAGATGTGTGACCGTCTGTGTCACCCTTCCTCTGACCCTCTCTGACCTCACCTCGTCTCCTCTGTCCGTACCGCCGTCTTCGCCGTCCGTATTTCTCCGTCTCCACTTTCCGTACCCACACCTGCTACGCCACACTCCCAGTGCAGCCACTGGCAGTCCCAAGGCCGTCGCTCGACCGTCGGCCGCCTCTGGTTCCGACAATCGCCGATAGGTGGCAGCAGGTCCTGGGCTCAGTTTGCCGTAATGGTTCCGACTAGTGATGTCAATTACGGAAAATCGTGATACCGATACCAAACCAAATACCAACAAAAACCATGAGAAAATACTGAAACCGAACCGACTTCAGAAAATGAGAAAAATACCAACTTTTTACCAAATTAGCTGCCTCTTTACATTAGTCAGGATTCATAATACAAACAAAATACCGAAAGCCTTAGCATTGAAATACAAACTACCAAGTTGGTATCGGTTTGGTATCGGTATTGGGTATACCAAAAAGTTGGTATCCGATTGACATCTCTAGTTCCGACAACCGCCGATAGATGACAGCAGGTTTCCAGCAGTCTGTCAGTCCGTGGCGCTGAATTTTAGGCCTTTAACTTTTGATTTTACCTTTTAAATTTCACCAGTCGTGCGATTCGCTCCCCAAAGTTCAAAGAATATTTAAAGGTACAGCCCACCGCTAAAGTAATGTAGGGTTTTACCAATCTCAACGGTTGGCTTTGACTGGCGATTGTTTAATGCGGAGTGATCGAAAAGAAGATGTCAATAGCTAAAGTTGCAGTTGCAAGGGTGACGATACATATAAGCTACATTCAAAGTTTCATTGTAGTCTGGCTAATCGTTCCTAAGCTTCAGAAGCAGAACATACCCATGACTGAAACCCCACATTACTTCTGCTGTGGACTGTACATACTTGATCCACAATGCAGTGGCTCTTCCGCACCCGACTCACCTTACGACTACCTTAGTGGAGGTAAAACCAGGGTAAAGGGCAAAACAACGGCGAGGCTAAGACAGATAAACACAAACACAGTACCATTCATTCACTCCTTGCATTCACTTATCAGCCATCAGTCCCAGTACCACAACAGTACCACGTGTACAGCAGCAACTGCGTAAGATGACGTTTGAAGGAACATCCGGTGAGGCATTTCAGCTCGCTCGGGAGCCGGTTAAACATTGCACTGCAGTGTGATAGCCACCTGGTGCTGGAGCATGTCTGTCTGGCGTCTGCTCTCTGGCAGTGGCAGTGCAGCTGGCCGATCTGGCGAGTAGGATTGTGGAGTACAGACATGCGAAAACATGGCTGCAATGTCGGCAGGTAATTCAGTATCTAGAGCGACTTTTTAATCAAGTCTATGGTAGCTCACGAGCAGCTCAGCGTGTAACCACCCGAGTTGATGAAACACGTCAGAAATGTGATCAAATTTGTGCCGGCCACTCACAACACGAGCTCAGAAATTTAACAGTTTCTGAATGCGGTGCTTTTCTGTTTTACCGCCGGACCCGCAGATGGAGATGCAGTACTCAGTAGCGAATTGAGCTAACCACAAGCGCGTTCACAATGTAAGTAACGGTCCGGTAGGTATGACATGCTTGGAATGGGACAGCGAACTCAAAAGACCGGTACATTTGCCAACCAGCTGGCTAACATCATCCCCGAACGTCAGATGTCGGTCCATAGTGAGGCCGAGATTTAACTGTGCGGCTTTCAGAAATGATCGACTGGCCAAACTTAACCCGCGCCCTGGTGGGGTCTGTTTATAACGCGACCTGGTGGGGGGGGGGCTATTTTTTGCCCCCCCCCCCCTCGTATCTCCGAAACTACTGGACGGATCCGCAAAATTCAAACGGCGTTCGAAAGGCCTATCAAATTTGTCGAAGGAAACCAAATTTCATTGACCTCGGGGTCACCGATGACGTCACAGGTCAGGTCAAAGATGAAATGTTTCACCGTTCACGGGTCATCTAGGGAATGCGCTATAACACCGAAGAAAACGCATTTTGTCGAAAATCAGCGATAGGGCGTCAGTTGCCTAGTACATATATTGCTATAAGAGGTCACTGACATTACCAGGTCAGGTCACAGGTCAGGTCACCAAGGGTCACAGGTCAGGTCACATGAACCTAACTAGGTACTAAGGTTGTGCGATGCATGTTTTATGGCCAATTTTTCATTTCCAACTCAATGGTGTTGGTTATAAGACTATCAGGTACGGCTTAGGCCACTTTCTGGTGGAGGTCAGGTCAAGGTCAGGTCAAAAAAGGTCAAATTTCAAAGTTGATATTTTTGCATAAAATGGGTATTGATTTGATGCAGCTCGTCACGGGGAGTCTAATGGTGGTCTTTGTTTTGCGCTACGAGGTCTAGAATTGCTAAAAATTGAGTTTGAAAATTTGACGTCATCAATTTTGAACAGTTTTTTTCGCTGTAACTTGGCCAAAAAAAGAGATATCGATCTCAAATTTGGTATGTTGATAGAAGGCGGTAAGGACTATCACATATATTCCGTTTATTTCGAAATTCAAAAAACTTTTTGGATTTTTCGGCTATTATATTCAAAAAATCTATTTTTTGATTTTTGGGGGTCAAAATCCGAAAATTTCAAAAATTCGAGATAGCAGTTTTGTAGCCCTGTCGATTCTACAGCTTTTATGTATTTATCGTTTTTTTGTATTTGCAAAGCTATAGGCCTGACAGCTCTTCCCGCGAAACCCTTTTTTGGGTCGAAAACGGCAGAACATGACGTCACTCTGACGTCATTTCCGGCCAACCTATCATAGCCTTTGGATAAATTTTTGGTCACAATTTGTAAAATTGATGTCCGGGAGGGTACTGAAAGTTTGGTGACGATCGGCGCAGCGGTTCTGGAGATATATCGAAAAGTCTGGAGGGGGGGCAAAAAATAGCCCCCCCCCACCAGGGCGCGGGTTAATCTGAGCTGGCTGGGTGTCCTGCAAAGCTATTTTGGTGCCATGAACAATAAGTTGAGTTTTTGCATAATTGGTTTTCATGCCATATCGGTTCTCGATTTATCGGCTGGAGACGTTAAACACACCCCCCTCCCCAGCAAACGGCGGGTGGCGGAATACCCCAGCAACTGCCGGGTTATTAAGAAGAGTTCACAAATCACACACATGGAATGGCACTCGAGAGTATCTAATACATACTTGAAACTTCAACATAGCTGTAGTAGATATCGCTATTATTACGCAACATTAGGAAGTATGTGGCACTATCCAAGTGAACTTTATGCTCGTGGCTGGCAAGACACCAGAACTTTCGAGGGTTAACTCGCGCCCTGCTGGGGCTCATGGATTTCCACCACGCCCGCAATTGCAGGAAAAAAAACACATGGGGGTGTTAACCCCTACCAGAAAGGGTTACTACCCTACCAGTAGTTACTACCCTACCAGTAGTATGGACTAGTGATCCCAATTACGGAAAACCGTGATACCGATACTGAGCCAAAAACCAACAATAGGTATCCATGGAAAAATACCGAAACCAAACCGACTTGGGGATATGAGAAAAATACCAACTTTTAACCAAATTCTCACTGCCTACACTATGCCTTTTCTGCGTGCGTTTTTTGCGGGTTTTCGGGTTTTGCGTAATATTGTTCTACTCGTAGAATAAAAAACGTTATTACGTTTTTGTGATTTTTTTATTTCAAATTTTAGTTAATATAATAGTTACGAGCGAGCGAGCGCAGCGAGCGAAGCGAGTCTTTTCAATATAACGGAAAAATCTCAGTATGAGCGGCCCGGCCCGGCCCGGCCCGGCCCGGCCTGTAACGCTTTTGAGAGGCTTATATCTCAGCAACCGCTGGACCGATTGGCCTGCGGTCTTTTTTGCTGGGTAGCCCCATCCCTTCTACCCCGTAATTGACTACTTTTGATACATTTCAGTGACCGTCGTGGCACGTGCCACGTGAAAAGTCAAGGGTGTTCAAGCTGTTTTGCAAAAGTAGTGATTTTGAGAGGTTCATATCTCAGCAGACGCTTGGGCGATTGACTTGCGGTAATTTGTATAGGGTAGCTGCATCCTTGCTACCAAAAATAGGATACTCTCGATGCATGTGGGTCACCCCCAGTGCACGTGCAAAATACAACAATAAGAGGTGTCAAATTTGTTCCCATTTTAATAACTCGGTAATTACTGGGGCGATTTCGCTGAAACTTGGCATACAGGTAGGCACCCACCAGGCAATGCATTCCCATGTGTTGCGGTTAGGGTGCTACTGCACGTGCGCACGTGCAGGGGGCGTTTCCAGATCTCGAGAACGGCTGAGCCGATTGCGCTCAAATTTGGTACACGGTTGGGGACCGGTTAGTAGGGTGCCGTGCAAAAGTCATTTTGGACCCCGTTTGCACGTGCGCACGTGCAGAATGCCGCTTCCAGATCTCAGGAACGGCTGGGCCGATTGCGTTCAAATTTGGTACACCGCTAGCGACCGGTTAGAAGGGTGCTTTGCACAAGCCCGTTGGAAGTACCCTCTCGCCCTTCTGCACGTGCAGGGCTCACTATCTCGCTCGCTCGTTCTTCGCCCAAAAGGCGTTTTACTGGTTATATTAACTTTAGTACATAGCTAACGCACAACTAATGTAAATGTTGTATTATTTTATAACTTTTTCTAGAATAAAAAACGCAAACCCGCAAAAACGCACGCAGAAAACGCATAGTGTAGCCAGGCCTTTACATAAGTGATGATTCATAATAGCCGTTTTCACGACGGGCTATCCGGCGAATGCACCTGATTTGACCAAATCTGCACCTATTTTCTTTTACAGCAAATATCTTCATTTTGTGAAGTCATTTCAGTGTTTTAATCGATGATGCTCTCTGATAATATGACAAAGCAGGCATATAAGCAATTAGTGCAACCCTAGCTGATAGCTGCTGAGAGACACACTAGACCTGATTTGACCAGATCTGCACCTAATCTGTACCAGATGTGCACCAAATGTGTACCAGATGGCCGTCGTGAAAACGGCTAATACCAACAAAATGTCAAATGCACTCGCCTTGAAATACCAGATATCAAGTTGTTATCGGTTTGATATAGGTATATTAACCCTCGCCCCGTTGGGGGGGGGGCATTTTGCCCCCCCCCTGTGGTTTTTGCTGAATAGCAAGAAAACGGCGGCGCGCAGCGCCGCCAAATTTTCAGTACCTTTCCGGGCATCAATTTGACACCTTCACACCAAATTTCAAGTCTTAGGTTACCTTAGGTCAGGAGTTATTGAGGTCAAACTGAGGTCATGTTCGAGCAAAAATGAGCAAAAAACATGCAATCTTGAAACGCTCACCAAATCTACAGTTATTAAGCAATTTCACTTTATATGGTCTAATAGACAAAAAGCGGCGCTACAAAACTGCTATCTCGGATTTTCAAAATTTTGGGTTTTTGACCCAAAAAATTTCCAAAAAATTGATTTTTTAGAAAAACTAAAAAAATCCAAAATTTTCCGAATTTCGAAAAAACGGAATATATGTGATAGTCCCTGCGCTCTTCTATATACATACCAAATTTCAGATCGATATCTCGTTTTTTGGCCAAGTTATAGCGAAAAAACTGTTCAAAAATGATGACGTCAAATTTTTGAACTCAATTTTTAGCGATTCTAGACCTCGTACGGCAAAACAAAGACCACCATTGAACTCCCCGTGACGAGCTGCATCGATTCGATACCCATTTTATGCAAAAATATCAACTTTGAAATTTGACCTAATTTGACCTGACCTTGACCTGACCTTGACCTGACCTTGACCTGACCTTGACCAAAACGTGACCTAAGCTGGCCCCAAAGGCTGCCTGACCCACATAATCGCATTTGTCATGTAAAATGGGCCATAAAACATGTATCACACGACACTTTCATATTGTGACCCCCCAGTGACCTGACCTCAGTGACCTGACCTGGTATCAGTGACCTCAACTAGCAAAATATGTGTTTGAAGAACATTTCCCCATCGATGATTTTCAATGAAATGCATTTTACTCGATTTTACAACGCATTTCTTGAAATGCCTGTAAACGGTGAAAATTGGACCTTTGACCTGACCTGTGACGTCATCGGTTTGACCTAGGTCAATAAAATTGGGTCATAAGGTAGTTCCCTGATAGGGCTATACAACACCGTTTGCCGCTTGTCGCTACGTTGCGTGGTTCTCGAGATCTTAGGGGGGGCCAAAATGGCCCCCCCCCCAACGGGGCGCGTTGCTCGGCAGAGCCCAACGGGGCGCGGGTTAAAAAATTGGCCATCCAATTGACATCTCTAGTATGGACCTTCAGCGAGTTTGTACTTTGTTGTCATGGGTAATCGCCGTCAAATCGACCACCTGGGCTGGATGTACTGCCGGCTGAAACTGCAAACTGCATGCCAGGGGAGGGGTGAGCCTGCACACTGACCGACTCGTGTTGTCAGTGTCACGTTACCATGGTAGCTCTGATGACGTCATCAAATTATTGAGCCCCGCCACCAGGTTAAGGTCACACCTATGTAGCATACATCCACCAAGTTTCAAGTCTTCACTACGAATATTTTTAGTACAGTGTCTGTTTTACTGACCCTCCACAATGTGCTCCAGGTGGGCGCCACGGCCCTGCAGGGCGTAGGCACACTTGCATCCGGCGGGCAAAGTTGTCGATAACCCGATGGCTGTGCACTTTACAGAGTGCAATGGCCTCTGGAGACAGTGCTCAGGGGGTGTGCTACCCCTGAAACGTTATTCTTATCGGGTTATCGGCAACTTTGCCCGCCGGATGCAGGTGTGCCTACGCCCTGCAGCGCCGGGGCGCTCACCTGGAGCACATTGTGGAGCGTCCGTGAAACACACACTGTACTAAAAGTATTCGTAATGAAGACTTGAAACTTAGTGGATTTCTGCTACATAGGTGTGACCTAAAGTGGCCGAAGTTTGGTGATGATCTGAATAAAACTTCCGAAGTTATTCGAATTTTGGTGATGACCGCTTTTTTGTGTCACCCTGTAGCTCAAGAGCAGCTCAGCGTGTAACCACCCGAGTTGATGAAACACGTCAGAAATGTGATCAAATTTGTGCCGGCCGCTCACAACACGAGCACAAAAATTGAACAGTTTCTGAATGCGGTGCATTTCTGTTTTACCGCCGGACCCGTAGATGGAGATGCAGAAGCGAATTGAGCTAGCCACAAGCGCGTTCACAATGTAAGCAACGGTCCGGTAGGTATGACATGCTTGGAATGGGACAGCGAACTCAATTGACCGGTACATTTGCCAACCAGCTGGCTAACATCATCTCCCAACGTCAGATGTCGGTTCACTGTGAGGCCGGTGTTTTTAACTGTGCGGCTTTCAGAAATGATCGACTGTCCAAACTTAATCTGAAATGGCTGGAAGTCCTGCAAAGCTATTTTGGTGCCATAAACGTTTTCGCTTGATTGATTTTCATGCCATAGTGTACTGAATATTTTTTTTTTTACAGTGTATGATGGAGAGGTCGCAAAATTGACCTGACCTTAGGTCACCGATATCGAAATTCCGAGATAAATATTTTGTACATACTGTTACTCTTATCAATCGCTGAAAGTTTCAAGGCGATCGTTCAGTCGCTGTAGCTATGACAAGGATTGAAACTTTTTCTGAGGTGAGGTCACTTGACCTATTCTGACCTGGTGACCTGACGTTGAGAGCCCTGGGTCTGATTTTTTTTTTACAAAATGTGCGGAAAGATGCATGAACAGGTGTGCCAAAAACAGCGGCGCTCCGAGCCGCCGTTTTTGAGATATCTGCGAAAAATCGCAGGGGGTGTTCAAACACCCCCGGCCCGGGGCGGGTTAAACAATGCAAAATTTCAAAGGTCAATGATCGGACCACGAAGGTTTTCAGGTAAAGGTATTGATTAGAACTGAGTGATAAACGTTACGTCAATATTCACCACTTTTTAGAGGTGAGTACCTAATTGAGAAAATAACCGAAAGGCCCTTTGGACACTTCCCTTCTATGCGATAGGGCCACTGGCGACATCCAGCCGGTGATAGTAGCCACTAGTGGCATCCAGCCTTCAGTAAAATAATAGCGGCCACTGGCGGTATCCAGCCTTCTAAAAGAAATAGTGGCCACTGGCGGTATCCAGCCTTCTAAAAAGTGGTAATGGTCGTTTTCACGGCGGCCATCTGGTACACATTTGGTGCACATCTGGTACAGATTAGGTGCAGATTTGGCCAAATCAGATTCAGTGTGTCTCTTAGCAGCTATCAGCTAGGGTTGCAATAATTGCTTATATGCCTGCTTTGTCATATTATCAGAGAGCATCATCGATTAAAACACTGAAATAAATTCATAAAATGAAGATATTTGATGTAAAAATTAGGTGCAGATTTGGTCAAATCAGGTGCATTCGCCGGATAGCCCGTCGTGAAAACGGCTAGTGGCCACTGGCGGTATCCAGCCTTCCGTAAGAAATAGTGTCCACTGGCGGTATCCAGCCTTCTAAAAGAAATTACGACCACCGGCTGTATCGCACCGCTGGATACTAGACCGTGTCCTGTATCCACCAGTCGATGGTATGGTGTCCCGGGATCCGTACCCGTGCTGTGTCCATACAGCTGTAATATAACTAATACACACTGTACAGTCTACAGTTGACGGCAGAACTGTACCAGCCCAGCACTTCAGTTGAATCATACTTTTTGTAATCAGTTGAATCATACTTTTTACCCACACCATGGTGTGGGTAAAAAGTATGATTCGCCCGTCCCCTGTGGGATGCATTTCCTGGAAATTACCTGATTTTTCTTTTTACTGGTAACTCTCTGGGTTTGGCTTAATTTTCACGGAACACTTATATTAGGCAATCTGAAGTTGCACGCACTTTTTATGAAGGATCCGACATTAGAGCTCCACGTCACTTCAAGTAAGTGACTTCTTTTTATCACAACTTCGTATGACATTATGGAATGATATGTTCAAAGCATTGCATAATGGTCAGAAGCCTTACAATCCCTTTGACTAGTTACCGTCACAGAATAACGGCACTGCAGTGGCGCTTTGAAACCCAGTAACATTTGTGTATTGAACGTCTCAACCACTGTGTATTTCAATCGCCATCAGCCCGTGATATCCCATGAGCGACACCGAACCGGACATATCCGGTCCAAACCAACCACAGCCGACCGGACCACCGACGGTCCGACACAGTGACGGGCGAGGTCCGATATCGCCTGGACCGGCCACCCTCACAGATAGCTACAACCACTCTCTGGTCTAAATTGAAACTTGACTGAAACTACAACACAACAGCACAGCGGTGTGATCCAGCGTGACGTCACGTCACAACACACGTGACGTCACCACGGCGGTACCTCCGGCACGGTGACAACGGTTTACCGACGGCTGGACAGTGGCCCGGAGCGTGATACATCTCGGATACTGAATATACCTACTGTCTATCAAAGCAGTGTCAGCAAACGTAGCAATCTGTGCTCAAATGATCAAGCATTTAGGTGGTCACTCAACCCAAACCAGCCTGGCACGGCGGTAAAGTACCCACGGACCTGAGCCCATGGGACAGGGCGGCTCGAAGTACTTCTGGATGTGAAGGTCTAGACGTGCATTGTGCCCCGTATAGCGCTGCCGACGGGACACGGTGCTGCCATCTGTTGTCGAGTTCCGACACTAGACTAGACACGGTGCTGCCATCTGTTGTCGAGTTCCGACACTGCCGCCGGCACCGAAGTAGACGAGGCACTGGGAAGCAGAGCTAGTGGCTGTCGTAGTACTCCACGCAGATGGTACTGTCGGAGGGCTCATCAATCTCGTCTTTTATAGACTCTGGAAACAGAGCACGCCAGATTACACACTGTTTGCTAGTGATGTCACATGGGGCAACTCAAACTGATGACGTAACGTCGCCTACAGATGCAGAAACGAACACAATGACAATGTGTGTGTCACAGACTAATGACGTCATGAGGGCTGACACTGATACTGTGACGTCACTTACGGAGATACACGTTCACCAAGTGTGACGTCAGTAGTACTGGTGACGTCACGTGCGTCAGTGTGCGTGTGTGCGCATCCGAAAGGCCGGTGGCGCCATGTCGGCTGGTGTGGGTGGTCAGAACTCAGAGACGCCGTCACTTACTGGGGACCCAGAGGCTGATGGTACGGGACTGGCCACTGTCACATCCCAGGTCTGTCTTGTGCAGGGCGGTCAGGACGGCCTGGCAGTTTTTGAGTGAGGAGCTTAGGAGCAGTCTATACAGTTTCCTGCATGTCACTGCCATCCTGCAACAGATCACAACAAAACAGAACAGGTCAATGTATACGGGACACAGTCACACAGTGGCACCAGCGGTCGACTCGACACGGAAACACCATGTAGTTCCAATGCCGTTCATAACAGAACATATGTGCCTCCGGCTATCTCAAGTTCCCAGTCTGGTGCTGCAATCAGCTACGAATGTTTGACACGATACTAAGAGCCTTATGCCACCGAATAATATGTCCATATCTATATTAATACCAGTCCAGTCCAGATAACGTAGCTGCCCGTCTGTTTGTCCGCGTCTGTCTGTCTGTTTGCATCGCATCAACACAATCGCCTGAATAAATAAGCCTGTCTTTGGATGCCTATTCTTCTGTAACGAGTTTGTTTCCATTTCCATTGTCCCCGTGCCCGTATTACTATGTAAACATCCAACGGATACCCAGTTCCAGGGGTTATTGCGGTCTATCCAGATAGGTACACATAAATATCCGCCGTCGCCGTCCGGCCGACTGACCTGCTGACCGCTGCCACCTCTGACTGGGTCAGGGTAGGGATGTCCGTGAGGGGCCGGGTGTCTTTCAGCTCCAGTGTATCCAGCTGGGAGCAGACGTGGAGGGCGGACAGCACAGTTTCGGAAATGACGCCGGGAATGAGGACAGCGACGTCTCTCAAGCTGGTGAGGGCAGCCAGGAGGCGTCCCGTCGCTTCCGGTGTCACAGACGGTGAGTCTGTAAAACATAAAGACAGACACACATACCGACTGGAATGGCTGGAACTGAAGATGAATAATATTATCAGCAATATATGCTTATTACCAACCGGCAGGACGCCTTTTTGGGAAACGGACAAGCGAGTGCAATAAAGGAATAGTGGAAAAGTGCAGCAGTATAAAGATCTAACTGCTTTATATGGGCCATCCTTCTAACCCGTCCATAATAGCGTAGCAGCCTCAAACGCCCGTCGTAATTGAGAATAAGATGCATAAGCATATACTACGCTCATACATAATCGCCAAATACATATACTCATTAGCATGATCAGTACGATATCTGTTTAACGATAGAAGCTACGTTTTGTCAATTTGATAAAGTGCAGTAGTAAGCAGAACGTAAGAGCCACGTGTTCCCTACATATCGACACCTTTTTTTAAACCCCACATTCTGTTCTCCGGTGAATTTCCGGGAAGCACGAAAGATCTCTTTTTAAAAGTGTCCAATCGTCCGATCCTGATCAAATTTGTGTGTTCGTAACTCGTAAGCTTGTTCTGGCATTGCTTGATCTGCCAGTGCCAAGACAGACAACCTTGAGAAAAATGGAGTAACTGTACCTTTTTTGAAGGTTGCTAAACAACTTGTCTGAACTTCACGGGAGAACAAATGTGGGGTTTAAAAAGGTGTCGATATGTCATGGTCATTGCCCATTGGTCAGTGGTCACGATATCTTCGCACCGATGCTCTGCTCGTGTTGGTGTTGCTCACCACGAATGAACAGCTCGGTGACTGAGCGGGTCGCCAGAGCAGCCAGCTGGTCCAGGAGTGTGTCCGTCGCTAGCTGTACACCGACCAGCAGTCCCTCCGACGGACATCTTCTAAAATTCTGCGATGTTCGAGTCATCCCCGACCCTGAAGAGAGGGATATGATCGCCCGTTAACAGCATTTAGGGTAGGGAAAGCATTGGTCGTGCCCGGTGGGCACCACCAGTCAGCTTATCGACAGACAGCGCTCGTATAGGTGGCATTATAATCACCTGCCCCCCACAATACATAAGGCTCGGGACAATGAGACTTTCACTATTCATTTGCTTTCATCGTATTCTAGTTCTTAACCCGCGCCCTGCTGGGGGGGGGGGTGTTTGAACACCCCCCTTGTGGTTTTTCGCGATTATCTCAAAAACGGCGGCGCGGAGCGCCGCCGTTTTTGGTATACCTTATCATACATCAATTCTACACATGTTGTGAAAATTTCAGACCAAGGTCATTCAAGGTCAGGTCACCAGGTCACTTGAAGTGACCTCACCTCATAAAAAGTTTCAATGTCTGTCATAGCTACACCGAGTGACCGATCGCTTTGAAACTTTCAGCGATTGATAAGAGTAGCAGTATCTATAAAATGTTTATCTCGGAATTTTGATATCGGTGACCTAAGGTCAGGTCAATTTTGCGACCTCCCCATTATAAGTCAATGATGGGAGAAAATTGAAATGCGCCTCTTTTGGACGAAAGACATTATAAACACTCCCAAACACTGAATTACAAGTGGTTTAGACACACTGAACATGAAAATGGTGTCCGTGACCCTTGTTTATGCCCTGAGGTCATCTTAGGTCACGAATTGTATCTAACAGTTTTTCGCAAATAACTTTTGATAGAGGCATGCTAGAGCGATGAAAACGCCTTAGATGTGTTCAGCTCGACGATACGGATCGACTGATATGCAACATGACCCTTTCCGGTCAGGTCATGACCTTGACCTGAGGTCAAATTTTCAAGTTGACCTTTCAAGGTCAAGTTATAGTTCATTCGATGCGTCTTGACGAGAGGAACACGATGCCGGTAAAAGTAAGCTCGTACAAGGCTTGGGTCAAAAGTTATTGCCGAAAAACTGTTTCCGAAAAAATCGGCTATTTTTGCAGTTTTTGCCCCCTGCAGGCAAAACCGTTGACGTTAGGTCAAATCTGAGAGAATTACTCAGAAAGGGCGTTAATAGGGCTATCGAATGCGCCTTTCCGCGGCGCTGTAGCTCTATTGGTTCCCGAGTTATGCGTTGGCTTCTTGGAAATTTTCGATATTCGACCTGGAAATCGGCGAAATTTTGCCTTCAATGACCTCTGGTGACCTGACCTTTGACCTGACCAAAAAATTGACCGAAGTGATTTCGTCATTATTTTTGACGCTCTTTCGAACGCCGCCTTCTGCGTATCGCTACGTGGCCCAGGAGCCGAGTTACAAGGGGGGGGGGGTGTTCAAACACCCCCCCAGCAGGGCGTGGAAATCCAGGACCCCCAGCCGGGCGCGGGTTAAGAAACATTTTTGTTGGTTTGATTTTAAGTGCATTGTGTTTAGATATTGATCAGTGTAACATTGTCAGATACTGTAGGCCATATGTCAGAGCTTGTACGTGTGACGACCGAGGCGACCCCTACTCTGAGTCGTCGACTGCGCCGGCCGCCGCCGGGCAGTCAGTCTTAGTCTTAGTCTTGGTCTTGGTCAGTCTCCGCCGAGTCTCGGCAGTCCACCGACGTTTCACGCTCATAGTTGAGCCTCGGTCACTCGCTATGTGACCCAGTCTGTCTCGCTCTCGGTCTCTCTCCTGGACTCTATCTCTCTATCTCTCGTCTGTCTCGAGTCAAGAAATACAGTGAGGTGCCGAACAGAACTCTTTTTATCAAGAAGTAACCACGGCGAACATTTTAATTTGTTACAATCAGGTTACATAGTTGTTGATGGTATGTCTAATTAACGCGCATTGTGTTATTGATTCCAACCTCAGACTTAATTACCTATGTTACCTCGGCCGGCTAATGTGCTAATAAGCAAAAAAGTGTAACCGAACAAATTCGCCCTTCCCTTCTTTACAATTTTGTTTCTCTCACCACACAAAACATGCAACATTTCCGGGGGAGTAAATCCTTTTCCTTTTTCGGCTGTGCTATTCTCGAGATCTAGTGCCGCAAACACGTGTCAACGCGACGGTGCTAGAAACTCACTCCACCAGCACCCTACGACCCTTCTCACCAGTGATGTCCAGTCTCGTCAGCGACTTGGGCAGCAGCCGAAGCCACTTGCCGGAGCTGTCCACGGGTGGGCTCACATCGAGCCGCTCCAGAGCCTTCAGCGGCTCCAGCAGCGCCTCCAGCTGCCAGTCGCTGATGCCGGCCGGCAGCGTCAGTTCACGCAGACTGGAGGCGTTGGCACGCGCCAGCCGGCGCAGGGCAGAGACCCGCAGCTTGAAGCCGCGCAGGTTGGCCTTCTCCAGGGCGTGGCAGGTGGCTGCTGGAATAAAGCAACACCAGTCACTGAAGAAGTGATCGCTCATCTATATGGACAAGGAATGACAGTTACAGCGGGACAAAGCGTACCAGTTCGTGTGTAGCGCGTTTCACACAGGACTCACCGACCAGTCGGAGGTCGGTGTCCGTCCCAGCGGTCGGCGCCTGCAGTTCAGTCATCTTCGGCTGGTCCTGCACCTTCAATACGAGCTCTAGGCTCGTGACCGGCGTAGCGACCTCTCCACCGCGGGTTTGTTGATCGGTTAGCTCCCGCCGACAGTCGCCGACGATATCGTCGACGGCGGACCGCCACCGACGGCAGACTGTCGGCACCGAAGAAACAGGGGGGATCGGGCGGCATGTCAGCGACAAACATCAAAGTCAAAGTTCAAATACAGGCAGCGTTAGAAATTCTATAAAATATAACATCGATATTCCATATAATGGCAACCGGAATTCACATAGCTAGGTACAAGCCATTCATTTGAGTTTATAATTATATATCCACCCAGACTTTCCCAACTTGCTGAACTCTCAGTTGGCTAAGGAAACACACCACATCGACTCGGATAATAGTTATTGCGACACACGACCTCGCTAGTCGCCAGGACACTCACCCCGTCTGGCGCGGAACATATCCCTACAGTCCATCTTGCTCATCACCATCTTCAGCAGCTCGGTGTCCAGGTGGTAGATGTTGGTACCGCGAGCCGCAGGCGGCCTACGCTTACCGGACGCCGGCCCCGCCTCCTCCGTAGTTGGTGTGACGTCACAACTGGTGGTGGCGTCACACTTGTCACAGGTGTCGGCCTTCAGTGAGACCACCTCTTCGTCGTCACTGTGGTGAAATGACGTCAGAGTGACGTAGTATGACGTCATCTAAGGTCAGTCATAAGGCGATAATTTCGAGATGTCTTCATTTTACCGAGACAGCACCGTATCATGGGCGCCCACGTAAGCCCATCCAGTGTCTTACAGACAAACTGTATACACAACCGGGTTGGTTCTTACAGACAAAATGCCCACACAACCAGGTTGACTCTTACAAACTGTCTACACAACCGGGTTGACTATTACCGACAAACTGTCTACACCAAGTGTCACCCTTGCAGCCAAAGGCGGCTGCCTCTAATGTTTACCCTTATCTTTGTCCCCCCCCCCCCCCAGTGCCACCCCTTCTGCCTCCCAGTCTCACCCCTGGGAGCGGTCGGATGGCGCCGCTCGCCGGCGGACCTCCTGCCGCAGCTCCTCCACGACGACCTGGCGAGTGGTGCGCTCCTCGAGGACAGCCTGTCGCAGGCGGACCACTTTTTCACGTAGATGGACCACCTCCTGACGCAGTGTGGCGTTGTCTCCCTGCAGTGTGGCGTTGTCTCTCTTCAGTGCGGCGTTGTCTCCCTTCAGTGTGGCGTTGCCCCCTTCAATGTAGTCACCTCCTTCTTCAGTGTGGTCACTTCTCCCTCCAGGCCGACCACCTGTTCACTCAGTGAGTCGCAGTTTTTCTTCAGTGTGGTCAGTTCCCCATCCAAACGGGCAATGTACTCTTGATTAGGATGTGTCATTTCCTCCTTCAGAAGTGCCATCTCTTCTTTCATCTGGATAACCTCCTCTTGGAGCTGCCTGGGCTCCATTTCTAAAAAAGAGAACGTACGGTATATAAAAGACTGAGAGAACGGTGTCACCTGAAACAGTCTAATGGTCGTAACGGCATGTGTCTAGCATATTTACGTCTGGACAACGAGTTGCGTTGGAGTGTCTATGGCTATTCTGGAACTTTTTGATTTTTTTTTGATTTTTTCACCGAAAAATATTCACCGGTTTTCAAGATATTAGACTTTTACTTTGTTTACTTTTTTGGGATCTCCGCTGTTTCTAGCGACTTTATTTTAGAAGTGCGGCGTTTGCGGCACTGCTGCGCGCAAATAGCATATACCACCGCGTGCTACAAAACGTTTTAGTCAAACATTTAAAAATCGTTAGATATTTGCGCTGACGTCACACATTCAGAGGGGTATTCCTAAGCATTAGCCCCTCTGAATCAATATGCTGCAATTTTGAAATTCAATATTTCCGATTTAAGGCATTTCTCGATGTTGTGAGTGCCGAAACCGGTAATTGTAAGCCAGGGACCCCATTTTGGCTATCTCAACTCAAATCTAATGTTAAGGTGGGAGGGTCCCTTTAACACATACCGTTCCTGGTCGAAAACTCAGGAGTCATGACGTCACTAAAACCTCAATCTTAATTTTCCCCACCAATCTGTTTGAAATTTCATCGCAATGAACTTCAATGGATTTCCTACATGCAACCAGAATTTGGCGCTCCTGCGACGCGGCCGTTTTTTTTAAGCGCGGCGAAAAAAGTGGGGGTTTAACTCATCCAGCAGCTCGCGGGTAAAGTAACGAAGTTTTCGAGGCACTATGATGCGGTATACGTAGAGGTAGACCCCTTTCCTCAGCCCTGATCTGGCCAGTCCCCCGGTCCTCTCATAACGAGTGGATGGGGAAGATACGACTCCTGGCGGGGCCTTTACGAGCTACTTTTATACGTCAGAGGCTGGTGTACGCGTGCTGCGTGAGCCACAGTTGGTTCGTACGAAGTGTCAGTCACAGTTGGTTCGTACGAAGTTTCATGTCTGTTTTTCCCCCACCCGCCGTGAACTCAGCCGAGGGTGTTCACGGACTCTCACCCTATCACTTCCCTCCACAACCTCTCCCCTCCCCTCCACCCCCGCTGACCCCGCTGACCCGTCTACCGCCGACACGTGCAGGACTGTAAACGGCAGGACTGTAACGAGAAGTCACAGGTGCCATTTCCCGGTTCAATACGTCTGGTTAACGTTTACTTATATGTAGGGGAGACCCGGGAGGTATGGGCCGGTTTTGTGAAAAGGCAATTTTCTTCCAGTGGGAAGTGGCTAGACCCAGTTTTTCACTCTATATACGTGAAATTGCCTTTCGCCTGCAAAGTGTGCCTGATATTAGGAATCCGGGATTAACCATTTTGTCTCGAGATAACTTTCAATAAATCATGCGCTTTTTCGATCCATCAAAATACACCGGGAGGTATGGGCCATGGCCCGGGAGGTATGGGCCGGTGCCATGTTTCATATTCTTTTCTCGATAATGAGAACAATACTCGTAGTTGGTATCTACCTTGATCTCTCTTAGAGCCCAGGAACCGCATAAGCGGCCAACAGCTTACTTCATGGGGGTCACGTGGGCACATATGTCTTTTGGTAAACTCAATCATGCTCAATGAAATAAGATAAATAATATTTTTCTGTTCGAATGAAATTTGTAGTTAAATTTTCGACCCTGCGCGACAAAAATAAAAGTTACTGAAGAGGACACTCAATGAAAGCATCATTTTATTGATTTTGGATCAATGGGGGTGGGTGGCCCGAACCTCCCGGTTAGGACGCCAAAATGTGCGTAGCATCTCAACTCATAAACTTGCAAGAAAGCTTCAAATTGTCTGTCCAGTCTTAATTTGCATGCTTTAAACTTTATATTACCGATGGTGTGACATCATAAAGCGAGCCTGGTTCAGATATATCACGAATTTTCTGTATGTACCGTATTTTACTCGAAGAAGGCAAAAACGCTTTATCACCGCTCATTGCCAAAGAAGATTGAGGAAAATTTTGGAAATCACGTGGGTTGTATAACGGAATGGCTGCTACCAATTTACGCGGTCAAATGTGTAAAAATACGCAACACTTCTTCAAAACTGCGATGGCCCATACCTCCAGGGGGCCCATACCTCCCGGGTCTCCCCTACGTACAGTGGGTCTATTTAAGATCTCCAGAGCCACCACGTGGCGCTACGGTCGGGGTGGAGCGAGTCCAAATCGCGAGGGGAGTGAGGTCACCGGTCATTGTGGGGGAAGGAGAGAGGGAGTGACGCGCTATCGCGGCGCGGAGCGTGGGTGTGCCGGGAGTGGGCCGCCCGCCACCTGCGCCGCGGCTGAGGGGAAGGGATGATGGTTGCGGGTGCCTTCACTCCGGTATGGTGGTATCCTTTTCATGTGCAGCCAGAAAAAAATGCACCTGAAGGGATTAATCGTCTCAAACAAACGGGCAAGCGAAAAACGCCATTCACTTAAGCAAAATCTTAAACAAATGATAATTGAAATCTAGGACCTAAACTTTTAGTCGACATTTGCATGCTGTCTTAGGCTTTTCTAAATTGTTCTTTGAGTTCCATGTTAATTCATTGTTTGGCACGCTCAGCATTGGTGGGCTTTATCGGGTCCAAAAGAATAAAAAAAATAAGGGAGAAGAAAAGAAAAAGGGTTGATATGGGGCCAGAAAATGACCAAAAATATTTTCTTAAAGATTAACTTAGCAAAACCTTTAGGTGCGACAATTTTAACGTTGTTGAGAGGATACTGGGAAAAGCTAAATCACCGTGCTTGTCAGTGTTGCAGTAGAAGGAAACGTTTTGGTTCGTGTCTAGATAAAGCCAGAGCCGGGAGTGAGACTCGAACTCACTACATCGATTTCCGCTCACAGGTCACCCCAAGATACCTATAAGAAACAGGTAGATCCGATGTTTGAAAGTAAAGCCCCAGTCACAAATTTGACGCACCTGTGACATTTCCTGACACCCACGTGACTATTGTATTAACTTTTGTGTTTTGCGATGTTTTGACCTTTATTAAAGTACTGAAAGCTCAAAATGTATGATTAATGTTGTTTAAAGCAGCATATTAATAATTATGTTTGTAAATTATCGATAAGCTGCCTATAGCAGGTCACGTGATTGCTACCAGATTATGTGCTCAGAAAGCATCTTTTCGACTTCGATTTTGAACAATTTTTACCTCCTTTGAGGCCAAATGATGGACGGTTTGAGGCACACGATGAAATGTTGAATCTATTGATGCCAAAATTTGTTCATTTTTTGCATTTTTAGACTAGTATATCCTGGCTCAAACTTTGACCAGTTTGTGTGTAAACCCTATGGTGAAGGGAAAACTTCACGCCCAGCAGGCGTCATTACAGTGCTGCCAAATCGTGTTTGGTGGGGGTCGGGTCACCCACCCTCTACGCTACGGGCATCTATCGCCCTGCGCAGCTTGCTGGACAGTGTTTCGGCCAAAGTTGTTGGTTGGATGTCTGACGTCTGTCAATGTTACGAGGCTAAGCCCGAAGGTAAATGAGGGAGCCGAACCAGATTGGACCGGGTTAAACCAGGTTGCACCGGGGTCCTACACGCAATCATGGTCAGACAAACATAATTTCGGGTCAAATATTTTTTATTAAATGATCTTATTGTTTTTAACTTATTAATTCAAGACTTAATGCAGAAAAATAGGATATTCGCCCACGCTTCCCCATCTTCTTTTTAACGACTAAATTTGACCGAGGCCCGTCATAAAAAAGGGCCTGCCGTTATAATTATTTACCCAAGAGCGCTCTACACAAGAAACGCCAGCCAGTCAAAAACCGGCCAACGATACGATCTTTCTAGTGTTTTAATTATATCAATTGAAAATTTCAGGAGATACGAATAACCTTAATCCTTAGAGCTACTGGACGCTCGCAGCATTCGCTAGCATTCCATTGCCAGCTGCATTGCCAACATCACATATGCATTTATTTGAGTGCATCATAGTTAGTTGTAGTTGACAATAGATAAACCGGTCATAGCAAACCCACGCCTCATCATCCTTCCCAGTTCCCTTCCAAGCGGCCACGCTACCGGCCGCCGCGCCGGGCCCACCAACGCGATATGGAACAGGCCGGCTGGAGTGCGTCATTTGCCTGCGGCAGTGCCCAACCGCGCCGGGGCTGTTTGACAGGTCACCCGCACCGTGACCTCGCCACCCCCCCCCCCCCTAGCCCACCTCCCCAACGGGCCAGCTCGGTAGTGACCTCTCCTTGAATTTGACATGGACTCGACTAAGGCTCAACGCCATCTAGTTACGTCTGGAGATCCTTACTAGATCCCTGTACGTACGATCGAAAGAGTGTTGAATGACGTTCGTCCAAAAGAAGCGCCTTTCAATTTTCTCTCATCGACTTACAATGAAGAGATCACAAAATTTACCTGAGCTTAGGTCACAGCCAGGTATCAAATTTCCGAGAAGTAAAATTTGTACAGTACATAAAATTTGATGCATGATTGTGCTACAGAAACAATAGCACGGATTAGTCCTACTTTTATACGTGAGACTGGTGCTGTGTGAGTCACAGTTCACACGGAGTTGCATTAGCCTGTTCACTTTTCGCCACCTGTCATGCACTGAGACGTAAGAGGGTCTCTCGCCGTATCACTTCCCTCCACAACCTCCCCTCCCCTCCCCTCCCCCCCCCCCCCCGCTGACCCCCTGACCCCTACCGCCGACACCAAGCACCGGTCACCCGACGCTCGGTGTCGTGTCTCCGTCGGCTGACTCGTCCGTGGATCGGCTCCGAAGGTAAAAGTCACACCGGAAATAGGTCGTCAAATCTGACCTGACCGGTATATAGGGCCTTGACCTGACCAAACTCCTCAGACGAGCTCCTCATCCTGGTAGCTGAGACGTCTCCATGGCAACCGCCAGCCAGTCGCGCCCAACGGCAGAAAGGGACTTCCCCTCTCCCACGCGCAGCGGGGCGAACTGGAACCGCGCCAGGGGGACTT